TTAGAACCAATCTCCAGGCCGTTAACCATTCTTGAGTCACCCACACCCCCTGCATCCCCTGCCATGCCACCTCCATCCCCAAACAGCCCAACCATGCCCCCTGCTCACCACTCCTTCTGCTCCCAATCCTCCTGCTCCCATTCCTCCTGCTCCCACTCCTCCTGCTCCCACTCCTCCTGCTCCCATTCCTCTATACCTCCCACTCCTCCTGCTCCCATTCCTCCTATACCTCCCACGCCCCCTGCATCCCTGCCGTGCTCTCACCACCCCCAAACAGCCGCCTTACAGGCCCCTGGCGGATGGCAATCGGTGGTGGGGAGTCGAGGGTTGATGGGAGAAACACACCTCCCCCAAATCATCCCCCAAATCATCCCCCAACTCATGCCCCAACTCATGCCCCACGTCATGCCCTACGTCATGCCCACGTCAGGCCCTACGTCATGCCCTACGTCATGCCCTACGTCATGCCCTACGTCATGCCCTACGTCATGCCCCACGTCATGCCCCGAGGCTAGACCTTGCCAGAGACAGATAAGGGAGCAAAGGCAGACGAACTGGTAGAAACAACAGAGATAGAGGAGGGACGAAGGCAGAGGCAGTGGCAGCAGAGGAGGAGAGGGAGGAGGCAGGTGCAGCAGCAGGAGAAGCGGTGGGAGGGGCCTTGAAAGCTGTAGCAAGGGAGCCAGAACACATAGCATCTGTAGCATGGGAATCAGCAACCTGGCAGCTGTGGCAACCACAGGCAATGAGGAGGGGACGAAGGCAGAGGCAGTGGCAGCAGAGGAGGAGAGGGAGGAGGCAGGTGCAGCAGCAGGAGAAGCGGTGGGAGGGGCCTTGAAAGCTGTAGCAAGGGAGCCAGAACACATAGCAGCTGTAGCATGGGAATCAGCAACCCTGGCAGCTGTGGCAACCACAGGCAATGAGGAGGGGACGAAGGCAGCGGCAGTGGCAGCAGAGGTGGAGAGGGAGGCGGCAGGGGCAGCAGCAGGGGAAGCAGAAACTCCAGCAGATGTGGCAGGTGAATCGGAGATTGTAGGAGGTGTAACAAGGGAATCGGAATTCTTAGCAGCTGTAGAAAGGAAAGAGGAAACCCTAGAGGCTGTAGCACGGAAGCAGAAACCATCTTGCTGTCGCACGGGAATTGGTAAATATAGCAGCTGTAGCAGCAGTAGTCAGCTGTAGCAGCAGTAGCAGAGCTGTAGCCGCTACAGCAGCACCAGCAGGCTTAAAGTCAGGAGCACTTTGAGCTTGGGTTGAATTCCGGGGCTGATATTGCACTGGCTAGGGACGCCGAAGCAGCGAGGGAGGTTCGGAGAGAGTAGGTTGGAGATGGAGAGGTCGAGATGGGATGTGGCACGTTGAGGAAGCTTCCAGGAGGCTGCAGCAGTGAAAGAAGCAGCATCAGCAGGAGGAGCAGAGGGGGGAGGTGAGGTGAAGGAAGAAGCAGAGGCGGAGGGGGATTTGAAGAGAGAGGAGGGGGGAAGGGGAGAGGAAGAGCGAGCAGGAGAAGGGGAGGAGGAGACGGATTGGAATGTGGGGAGAAGGGGACAGCGATCGACCAATAGCGCCCGGGGTAGCATAAGAAGCTATAGCGGGCGTGACTGTAGAGAGGGATGCTGATGCTTGCGTGGCGGGCAGTGACGGGTATGAACTCGCCAGCTGTCGCCGAGAGAGTGGTGGCACGAATCGCTGCAGATGTGGAGCTTGCTGACGTGGCAGACGGGCCTCCGGGAGGGGATTGTGAGGAGGATGAGAGGGAGGAGGTGATATGGTGGATTTGGAGGAGGGGAGTGTGGCAATGGAGAGGAGGAGGAGGAGGAGGAGGAGGAGGAGGAGGAGGAGGAGGAGGAGGAGGAGGAGGGAGGAGGAGGAGGAGGAGGAGGAGGAGGAGGAGGAGGAGTGGGAGGAGGACGGCCAGGGAGCGAGATGGAAGTGGGAAGAGAAGGGCGAAGGAATGGAAGGCAGGGAGAAAGGAGGGGGACTGAGACGATCGTGGAGGAGGGGAGTTGGGAAGGTATGTGTCACCTTAGAAACATGACTCTCCCTGCGCTGCCTAGACTGCTGCCGCTCGCACTGCTGTTGAAACTGTTGACTCTTAATGCCACTCCTGGTGTCACTGCTGCTGCTGCTGTGCTGCTGTGCTGTTGCTGTGCTGTTGTTGGCAGTGCTGCTGATCGTGCTGGGTTTGCTATCAGCGTTATTCAAGGCAGCATTAGTCAGCTTATTCTCTGGCCGTCAGGAGCACCGGGCTCTGTCACTGCTGCTGGTCATCATCCATGTCAATCAAGGTTACAAAAAAAGGGGGGAGATGGAGAGACTTTTGAGTCGACTCGAAAAGGGAGGAGATGGAGAGAGAGAGAGAGTGGGGGGGACAGGGTGGGGAGGATGCGGGGAGAGAGACAAACAGACAGAAAAGAGAGCACACTCGGTGCAGCAGACTATGTGGAGCATTATAATGAGGATGAAAGTGCACTCTCCTTGTGAGTGCGTCTCAGGGAGTGGTAGGAGGGAGATGGAGAGAGGGGGAAGGAGAGAAGGAGAGGGAGATGATGGGAGGAGGGGACATACTGGGGGAAACTGCATTGGCAGCAAGCAGCCATGACATAGACTCACCTGCTAGTGCCGCCGCCACAGGTGCTTCAGTGTTACCAGCAGAGCTAGCACTTGCTGCTGGTGGTTTCTCCTCTGAGACGCCTTAGAGAGACTGGGAAGGAGGGGCTACACGAAGCAGCAACCATGGGATGGGACTCACCGTCTAGTGCCGCCGCCACAGGTGCTTCAGTGTTACCAGCAGAGCTAGCACTTGCTGCTGGTTGCTCCTCTGCACTGCCCTTCTCTAAATAACACCTCCCCTCCACCTTCCTCAGAGAGCTCCTCCCCCTCCACCTTTCTGAGATAGCAGCTTCTTTCCACCTCTCCCAAACAACACCTCCCCTCCACCTTCCTTAGATAATACCTCCCCTCCACGTCCCACTGGACCCAGCCACAGCTTCTGAGATGCGGGCTCGATACTTGCTGCAGCAAATTGAGGAGGGGAGGTAAGAGGGCTCCAGATGGAAGGAGAGGAGGGGAGGAGCGGAAGAGCAGAGGCAGAGAAAGCACGGGCAACATGGTGTTGCTGGTGCTGGTGGTGCCACTTCGTAAGGTGGCTGCTCAGTCCAGAAGGAGGGGCAGAAGCAGAAGCAGCGACAGCAGCAGGGCTGCACCAGTGGTTGCAGCAGTGGCAGCAGCAGTGGCAGCAGCAGTGGCAGAAGCGGGGCAAAGGAGGGAGGTTGGGTGGAAAGCAGAGAGGAGAAGGATGGCAGCATGGGGCACTGGGGCATCTCCGGCTATCCACGCCCACACTGCCTCGTGGTCATTCTCATGCAGCTCATATATACCACCCTTATTTCCAGCACTAGCAGCACCACCATCGCCACCACCAGGGCCAGCACCAGCGCCAGCACCATCACCGCCACTAGAACCACCACCACTAGCACCACCAGTATCACCACCACCACCACTAGCACCACCAGTATCACCACCACTAGCCCCAGAAGGTACAGAAGCAGCAACAGCAGCCGCAGCAGTAGGGTCACCCGAGCTACCACCACCACCGCCTTTGCTGGTATTGCTACTCCCCTCATCAGCAGCAGCACTAGCACCACCACAATCACCACCACTACCAGCACCGCCTTTGCTGGTACTGCTGCACCCCTCACCAGCAGCAGCACTAGCACCACCACAATTAGCACCAGCACCAGCACCAGCATTCCTACAGACCTCAGAATCCCTGCAAACCCCAGCATTTCCACACGCCCCTGTATTTCCAGCAGCAGCACAGCCCGAGGCAGCAAAGAGGGAGGAGAATCTACTCTGAGTGCGCCTGGCAGCAGCCACAATCTCCCCGCTCGCTTCATCTCATCTTCTGTCCACCCCACTCCCACCCCTGCCACCACCCCCGCCGCTGCCACCGCCGCTGCCGCTGCTGCTGCCGCTGCTTGCTGCTGCTGCAGCAGATGCAGTGAAGCCCCTGCGTTTTCCTGTGGCTGATCTAATGTGCCTGTCTGCTGCTGTGGGCCGGTCTGCAATTCCGACCCTGCACCTGTGTGTGTCTCTGACTGTGCACGTGTGCTGCCCGCCCTTTGAAGCGTGGCACTCTCTTCACTGCAGCCTTTGGTCCTGCTGCTGATGGTGCTGCTGCTGCTGCTGCTGCTGCTGCTGGTGCTGGTGCTGGTGCTGCTGCTGCTGCTGCTGCTGCTGCTGCTGCTGCTGCTGCTGCTGCTGCTGCAAGTATTAATGTCATTGGAAGCGGTGCTGCTGCTTGAAGCTGTGGTGGTGATGTTCGCAGTACTAGTAGCGTCTGAATGGTTCATAACACACATAGATGAAAGTGGGATGAAAGCTGGGGGAGCGGTGGAGGTGGAGGAGGAGGAGTTTTGAGGCGCCTCAAAATTGAAAGCTGGGGGAGAGGTGGAGGTGGAGGAGGAGGAGGAGGAGGAGGAGGAGGAGGAGGAGGAGGAGGAGGAGGAGGAGGAGGAGGAGGAGGAGGAGGAGGAGGAGGAGGAGGAGGAGGAGGAGGAGGAGGAGGAGGAGGAGGAGGAGGAGGAGGAGGAGGAGGATGAGGAGGAGGAGGAGGAGGAGGAGGATGAGGAGGAGGAGGAGGAGGAGGAGGAGGAGGAGGAGGAGGAGGAGGAGGAGGAGGAGGAGGAGGAGGAGGAGGAGGAGGAGGAGGAGGAGGAGGAGGAGGAAGAAGAGGAGGAAGAAGCAGTGTCATCAGCAGCCGCAGCATTTGCAGCAGTTCCAGCTGTCTCAGAAGCCCCAGCAGCAGGCACAACAGCACCAGTAGCTGCTGCAGGAGAGCCTGAACCAGGCACACGCATTGCAGCAGCCCCAACCGTCCCAGCAGTCCCAGCAGCAGCTGCAGCACTGGCAGCACTTGCAGCAGTCCCAGCAGCAGCCACAACAGCTCCAGAAGCAGCTGCAGCAGTGTCTGAACCCGACAAGCTTGCCGTGGCAGCCCCAACCGTCCCAGCAGTCCCAGCAGTCCCAGCAGCAGCCACAATAGCTCCCAGGCCTACCCCAACTATCTCTGCACCGGCAACCAGGGCATTACTGCTACCTGCCACGCTAACACCAGCAGCAGAACGCACCAAACCACCACCAACCACACCAGCAGCAGCAGCAGAACCCACCAAACCACCACCGGCCATACCAGCAGCAGAGCTCATCAGCCCAGCAGCTCCCCTCCTTGCAGCAGACCCCATAAGAGGCATCGCCCCTGGCCCTAACGCACCAACAGACCCTGCCAGTATCCCACGTTGATACTCCCACCACTAACACCACTACCACCGCCAGCCCCACTCACAACCCCTCCGCGCCCTACCAGTCCCACTCCTCCCAGCCCCACTCCACCTCCCAGTACCACTCCGCTTCCCAGTCCCACTCCTCCCAACCCCACTCCACCTCCCAGCAGCGGCCAAGGAGCGGCCAGCACGCCATCTCCTGTCACTCTGATGCGGGCGGGCAGGGAGGCCACCAGAATCGCCCCTCGCAGCCCTGGCTGCAGCATCACAGGGCCCACCTGTGCGAAACTCGCCCCTCCCTGTGCGAAATTCGCCCCTCCCTGTGCGAAATTCGCCCCTCCCTGCGCGAAATTCACCCCTCCCTGCCCTTGCGCCTGCCCCTGTGCTCCCTGTCCCTGCCCGTGCCCTCCCTGCCCCTGCTCCTGCGTTTGTCCCTGCCCCTGCGCCAGCACCTGACCATGCACCTGACCGTTCACCTGACCTGGGCGCCTGGTTTGCCCCGCGGCTACAGATGCTAGAGCCCGCTCCACAGCAGCGGTTTGTAGCGGCGGGGACTGTAGCAGTAAGCACTCCGGCTGGTGGTGGGTTGAACGTGGTTACTGGCTGAGGGTGTGAGGGAATAGGTCGAGGAGGTAGTAGAGGAGGAGGAAGGAGAAGAGGAAGAGATAGAAGAGGCTGTAGCAGGAGAAGAGGCAGCTGAATGGGCTGTAGCCGTACTCATTGAGGTTCCAGGATTGATTGGAATAGAAGAGGCTGATGCAGTTGAAGGTGTTAGGGAGGAAATAGAGGAAGAGGAGGAGGAGGAATAGGAGGAGGAGGAGGAGGAGGAGGAGGAGGAGGAGGAGGAGGAGGAGGAGGAGGAGGAGGAGGAGGAGGAGGAGGAGGAGGAGGAGGAGGAGGAGGATGAGGAGGAGGAGGAGGAGGAGGAGGAGGAGGAGGAGGAGGAGGAGGAGGAGGAAGAAGAAGAAGAAGGGAGCGGATGGTGCAGTGGGGAGTTGAGAGGTGCGTGAGGGCCCAACAGGGATGACGTGGATCCCAGCAGGGATGACGTGGATCCTAATAAGGATGACGTGGACACCCAGGAGAGGGGTGAGTGGTTGAGATACGATGGTCTTTCCCACACGGTCTTATGCGATGCTGCAGTGCACATGCACACAGAGAGAAGGGATGGGCGGGGGGGAATACATGGAGAGAGCGAGAGAGGGGGAGGGAAGGGGGAAGGAGGAGAGGAAGGGTGGGTTTGGACGGTATTTGCACAACAGCAAGCTGTATGATGTGATGTGAAACTTGACTCGAGTTAAACTGCAAGCTCAGAGAAAACAGCCACCGTAAAGACTGTAGGTGTTGAGACGCGTGGAAAAGCAGCTGAAGCGACTTCAGGATGCCAGGATATGAACATCAGAAACGAACTTTGAGAAGGATGTGCAGAAGAAGGGGGGAGGGGAAACTGTGGTGGAGGGGGCGCAGAGGAGGGTTGCGCGGAAAGAGAGAGAGCGGGTGGATGCAGAGCGGTTGAGATGCATACGGGTGAGTGGAGAGGAGGGCGAGAGCTGCATGAGAGGTGAACAGGAGTTAACTTTGGAGTCGACTCAAAAGTCAACGAGAGTGGGATGCATACATACCAGTGAGTGGAGAGGAGGGAGAGAGCTGCATGAGAGGCGAAGACGCCATGGCTGAAATCGGTGGGTTGAACCCCCTCATTCCTCCCATCATCCCACCAAAACCACTGCCAATACCAGCGAAAGCAGCACCAGCAGCCCCAACAGCAACCCCTCCCCCAAGTCCCCACCCCAGCACCACCAACAGCAGCAAGCAGCAGCAGCAGCAGCAGCAGCAGCAATGCCGTTAGTAGAGCCAGCGAGGATATCAGCCCGGCCAGTCCCACCACTTCCGGTAAGCTTGCCGGGACCAACGGACGTTCGCACTACCACCACCCCTCCTCCTCCTCCCCAGCTGCCTCCGCCCCCATACCCCACAACTACACTCCCCCCTCCTCCTCCTCGACCCCTCTCTCCCGCTTTCCCGCTGCTCTCCAGCCCGCCGCTGCCACCTGTCACTCGCCCATTGGCTGCACCCTTCACTTTCTTTCCAGTTGCCGCTCTGGCTGTTGCGGCTGGCTTATCAGCAGCGGACGGGGAGGGAGGTTGGGGACGCCGTAGGGGGTTCGGCAGCTGGGGCAGAGGCTGTTGAGTTCGAGCTTGATACGCTCGTAGCAGAAGAGACACACGCGGTACCTGACGGCCAGGAGAAGAGGGTGAGGCAGTGGGGAAGGGAAACGGGAGCATGGGAAGTTAGAGTTAGCGAGGATGTTTTTTTTGCCCGTAGAACAAGAAAAATGAAGGAAGCAAGTTAAGGAATGGACTTTTGATAAATGAAAAAAGGGAAACAAGGCAACTACTGCGACTGTGAAATGCCCCAGAGTTGACCAGACGAGGGGTGTACCTATCATCAGTCTTCGCTTCACCCCATAGACTCGTAAGAAATATAAGCAGGTTTGGATTGTGATGTGACCTAACCCGCACTTACCAGTGAAGCCGGAGTGTAACCAGTGTGAGTCATTGAGACAAAGACACGGCTGCACGGGCCAGGGCTCTGTGGCCGTGCAATGTCAGCAGCCAGACTCAAAATCCCCGCCAAGAACTACCTCACGCAGCTCACTTCGCGCTCCTCATTCGCTCTGTAATACATATAAAAATCTTTGCAATGTAGCGAAAGCGCTGACGGAGATTTACCCGCAAGGGCAGGGTCGAAATCGGACTTCAGTTTCGTCGAGATGCTCGATGCAGAGCGGACAAACGGGATCCTCCTCCTCCTCTTCCGCCTCTTCCGCCTCCCCCTCATCCTGCACGCCCTTATCCGCTTCCAATATTTCCTTCCAGTTCTCCCTCTCATGCTTTCCGTCTCTGTGAATCCAGTCGCGATCAACGCCGGACCATTCTACGCCGTACGATGATGATATCCGGGACATAGACGCTCCGGGTTTCGCGGCGGCTGGTACGGTGACCCGTTTAGGGCCGAAGACTTTGGACATGGTCTAGAGTGTGCATGAATAGGATACTAACGAGCAGCCAATCTCTAGTCGACTCAAAAGCCGGGAAATTTGGACATGGTCTTGAGCGTGCACGGACAGGGTTGGAAGCGGTTGAGTCGGGTGTCAGCCTGGGGATAAGAAAGACGGAACAGTCATTGTATTATCAGGCAATTATAATGAAAATCAGGAACCTGCGGTGGTCAGAAGGGTGTTATTGCTGAACTCTCTTAGCGAACTTGAAAACTCATGGACAGGTAGGAGGTAGTGGAAAAGCGTTCAGCTAGTAAGGGGTTGCGAAGTGAATAAAGTCTTGAGACATGGAATGTGGATGAAGCAGAGAAGGGTTACAGGCCAAGGACGAATAAGAGCTCGTGGTTGTGGAATGGCGGAACCTGAGGATGCTAGTAACGCGGAAAAGTGACAAGTTTTGCGTGAAGAAGAACGGAGAGTGCTCTTTATTCTATTCCACGTCGTCAGGCTGGCGGACCTTCCATATAGAAAGCTAGTACCTTAAATACACGCCACGAAAGCCGCGAGATTAAGGTATAAAATGCACGTGGTAAAGCCCCAGCCAAGAATGTAACCAATGGGGTGACGACAGGCCAACCCGCTGCGAGGACATGAGGCCCCTGTGATTGGCGTCCCAGAGAGAGCGTTGGACCCTCGATGCCTCTGATTGGTAGTCAGGACACAAATGGAGTGTGCATAATACTAACGGAAGGTGAACTGCAGTGGTAAAGATGAAATTTAGTGTTGTGGATTGAGCAAGACAGACACTTTCTCCCTTTCCCACCTTAGCAGTATTTTTTCGTTTAGTAATGCGGTTGAGTACTCTGATGTGCATTTAAGAGCGGTTTATATGCTTTGACCCGCACTAGTCAGGAGTGTGAACAAGGGGATACATGAACTGTAAATGCACACACTCTGTGGCCCCACTCTTATCATATGTTCCGCGTGTTAGTCCGTTGATGGTACGTTGCGGTTCCGCGCGTTAGGGCACGGTAAAACGCGGTTTTGACAAGTTACTGCTTTGGACCGTATAGAACCGAACAAAACCGTTTTCTATGCATTTAGATTGAATAGGCGGGATAGCTCCTAGCGCACCGTCCCGCCAGCAACCGCGCGACGCCCTGCGAAAACCAATCTCAAGGTTGCGTGATGGAAATTGTCCGCCCATCAAATCCAGCGGAGGTTCAACCAATCAGCTCGCAGTCTGCTCCGCCCTCGTGTATTTGGCGGCATTATCAAAAGTTCCTCGGACACCCTCAAGCTTGGAGATTTGGGAGGAGGAACGAGTGATGGAGAACAGTGCGGACTCATGGTTCGGGCAGGCCTTGTTTCGCTGGCTCTTACGATTGGCAGACGACGACACTGATGAAATCGCTGATACCGCAGGCGAAAAACTATGTGAAGTTGTATCATGCACTGATTGGCCGCGATCGGACGCGTCACCATCAATGGATGAGCCAGCGCAAGTTCAGAAGCCAATCAGGTGTAGTACGAACCAGAAGGAATGCGCAGCGCACCAAATCATCGGAAGAGGGTTTTGAAGGGTGGTGCACAGTACAGTAAAAGTACTTTAATTAATGCATATACATCCCCCTAGTTCCAGGCTTGCTTGGTCTGATCTCCCATCCAATAGAGCACAGCCATAGAAAAACTGCAGCATAACACTTCTTACATACGGCGCACAATTCGTCACGTGCATTTATACCGCAATTGGGATTTACATTAGAACCAACAACCCTCGACACCCATGCCACTACCTACTAACACCTTAGAATTCTTTACAGAACTAATAAGCTCACACTACACCCCTCCATGTACACCATCCTCTAGTCATCTCCCCCACTCCCTCACTCCCTAACTCCTTCACACTGCACACATCCGGCCCGCTGCAGAACATATCCACCACCCCTCCAGTATCCACTCATCATCTCCCCCACTCCCTCACTCCCTCACACTCCCTCCCTCACACCTCACACATCCGGTCCACTGCCAAACATGTCCACCATCCCTCGGAACACCTGGGCTGACAGCTCACTCGCCTCCACCAGTTCACCATCCACATTCCAAAAGCCCTGCTCCCCCATGGCCTTGAATGTGAACGCTGGGGTCTGGGGGTGGGGGAGGGGAAGAGATAAGGTGGGAGAGGGGTAAGGAGTTGGGGGAAGGGAGGGAACACCTGGACCAACAGCTCACTCGCCTCCACCAGTTGGTCATCCACATTCGAAAAGCGCTGTGCCCCCATGGCCTTGAATGTGAACGCTGGGGTGTGTAGGAGTGGGGAGAGAGGGAGTATGGGAGGGGAAAGTGGGGATGATGGAGGAGAGAGAGTGGAAGGGAAACAATCGACATGGTATGAGATGATTTGAGATGGCGTGCAGCTTTGTGCACTGCAAAACATCCGTCTGTGAGGATAGGTACGATGCAAAATGGTGTGGGACGGTGTGAAACGGTGCAAAGCTGTGGAGCAAGCGAGTGAAAACTAAACACACCTTGTGGTGTTGGACAACGTGGAAGTCGAGGGGATCTGCGCCCTTGATGGTCAGACACAGCAGCAGCTGAGAAGCGGTTGTAAGTCAGTGCGTAACGGTGTGAGGAGACGCGATCTGGTGTGAGTGGGTATGAGGCGGTGTGAAGCGGTGCTGTGAGTGAGAATCAGACCCACCTTGTGGTGCTGGACGAAGTGGAAGTCGAGGGGATCAGCTCCCTTGATGGCCAGACACAGCAGCTGCCTGCGAGTGGGTGGATAGATGGACGGACAGATTAATACATGGTCTGTATTGAGACCTTATAACAGATGGATACACAGTTTGAAATCTTCTAAGAATGGATCTGCACCCTTGACAGCCAGACACAGTGCAAGACATCTATACTATATCACAAATACACTCAACAAATGAGCGAAAAGTATTGGAAGGAAGAAAAACACTCACTGGAGGTGTCCTGCGCGCGAGCACTCGCGGATCATGAAGATGTTCAAACACAAACACCTACCACTCATTGACTAGACATAACCAGTGTCACGCTGGAGGTACTCGAAATTCCGTTACTCACTGGAGGTATTCTGCGTGCGAGCACTCGCGGATCATGATGAGGTTCAGATTCTCATCCGCCAGGCGGGCGTGTGCAGGGATTGCTGCAGCGAACGTCAGTACTGGTGACTAGTGGAGGTAAAAGCTACTCACTGGAGGTATTCGGCACGTGAGCACTCGCGGATCATGATGAGGTTGAGATTCCCATCCGCCAGGTGGGCGTGTGCCGCGACGCCATCTGGCGCCTTGTCATTGCGGCAAGAGATCACCGCGCCGCCCACGCTGTGAAACCGGCCTCTCACGGTGCGCCAGCCTGGCGTCGCCTCGTCCCAGGTCAGCGGCTGCGGCGAATCCGCCGCTGCCACGTCAGCATCAGCAGCTTCTAGGGGAGGAGGTGAGAAGAGCCTGTGCTTATCAGCTTCTGTGGCTGTAGCAGCAGCAGCATCAGGAGCGGCGGGAGGAGGGTGATAGGAAGGCGAAACAGCAGCGGCATCAGGAGCAGCATCCACAGCAGCAGAATCACCAGTAGTGCGGTTGAGAGGGGTGAGAAGGGAGGCCAGACCCACAGCTGACTGCGATGGGCCTCTGGCCTCGAATCCCAGGGCAGATCGCGTCAGCAGCGAGAGATCCTGGCCGTTGGCGCATACCGAGCATCCAGCGGTGCAGATTTCTGCACGGGTCGTGGGGCTGAAGGAAAGGGGCAGGACGCAAAGTAAATGATGGGGATCGGTGAAGGGAGGATGCAGGAAAGGAAAATGAGAAGGTTTGTGATTACCAACGACCTGGATGGCTTTGGTGGTTGAGATTGAAGACGTCTTTAAACTGAAAGGCGTCAAGTGATTAACTGGTATTTGAGGCGAGGGAGGAGAGGAGCAGGGAGGGATAAGGAAGAGCGAAACGGGGAAAGGTAAGGCAGCAAAGGCAGGGCGTGAAAGGCAGTGGCATAAAGGGGTGGGAAGGCAGTGTGATGGGTGGGTTACCTTTTTCTGTGCATGGACGGTAGGTCTGGCTCAGGCACGTGGAAGAATGACACCTCTGCTTCGTACGACCTGAATCAGGGACAAAGGAGGGGAGAAGGAGAGGAAAGGAGGGATTGGTGGTGGCAGGGAGGAGGGTTTGCAGGTTGGTCTGGCTCAGGCACGTGGCAGAATGACACCTCTGCTTCGTATGACCTGGTTGGGGGGGAGGGAAAAGAGGCAGGACAACAGGGGCAGGAGAATAAAAGGATGGGCAGGAAGAGAGTTGAGTTACCCTCTTGTGTGCATGGAGAGTCGGTCTGGCTCAGGCACGTGGGCGAATGAAACCTCTGCTTCGTATGACCTGGTTGGGGGGAGGACAGGGGAGAGGGAGAGCATATGAGTGGCATATGAGGAGCATATAAGGGGGATATGAGGGGGAAATGACAGGCATATGAACGGCATATGAGGAGCATATAAGGGGGATATGAGGGGGGGAATGACAGGCATATGAAGGGCATATGACATGTCCTGAACCCCACGGTCATGTGAGGCAGAACCCCATCCCACCTGAACACTCACCTGAACACTCACCTGAACACTCACCTGAACACTCACCTGCACACTCACCTGCGCACTCACCTGAACACTCACCTGCACACTCACCTGAACACTCATCTGCACACTCACCTGCACACTCACCTGCACACTCACCTGCACACTCACCTGCACACTCACCTGCACACTCACCTGAACACTCACCTGCACACTCACCTGAACACTCACCTGCACACTCACCTGCACACTCACCTGAACACTCATCTGCACACTCACCTGCACACTCACCTGCACACTCACCTGCACACTCACCTGCACACTCACCTGCACACTCACCTGCACACTCACCTGCACACTCACCTGAACACTCACCTGCACACTCACCTGCACACTCACCTGCACACTCACCTGCACACTCACCTGCACACTCACCTGTACACTCACCTGCAGACTCACCTGCACACTCACCTGCACACTCACCTGCACACTCACCTGCACACTCACCTGCACACTCACCTGCACACTCACCTGCACACTCACCTGCACACTCACCTGCACACTCACCTGAACACTCACCTGAACACTCACCTGCACACTCACCTGCACACTCACCTGCACACTCACCTGAACACTCACCTGAACACTCACCTGCACACTCACCTGCACACTCACCTGCACACTCACCTGCACACTCACCTGCACACTCACCTGCACACTCACCTGCACACTCACCTGCACACTCACCTGAACACTCACCTGCACACTCACCTGCACACTCACCTGAGCACGAATCTATGCAACTGATGTTTCGCATCCACCTCTGCCGCACCCAACCACCCACCCACACACCCACCTGTGGCACATGTAAGTCATGAACCCCGCATAGTCGTATCTGGCAGGTCCCATCCCATCCCCACATGCATTTGATCCCCCACATCACATTGTTCCCTCCACTCACACGCATATGTCACTCCCGCCCACCCACCTGTGGCGCATGTACGTCATAAACCCTGCATAGTCGTATCTGGCAGGTCCCATCCACCTCAGCGTCTCACTCTCCTTTGTCACCGCGCCATAGAATCCGTACCTGGGGAGGGGAAGGAGGTTGGGAGAAGGGGGGAAGGAGGTGGGGGAAAGTCGGGGGGTTGGAGATGTCTTAAAATCTGGTCAACGGAAAGGGACAGGTAGGGGAACGATGAAAGGGGCAGGAAGAGGGGCAGGGGTAGGGGTAGGAAGGAACGATGAAGAAAGGAGGGACAGGTAGTGTTGTTATTTGCTTGTGTGTTTATGAGTTACGGGTGTACACATTAGGGGACAAGGTAATTTACCCGAAGAATGATGCAGCGTATCGAACATCACACTCCATCTGCTGCTGCTCTTCCTCCTTCCTGGAAGCTTCCGCTACTCCTTCCCTTGCTCCATTTATCTCTCTTCTCTCCACCCATCCTCCTGAGTCTCCTCCTCTTTCCTCTGCTTTTGCCGGTTGTGCTGACTCAGCAACTTCGGCTGCTGAGTCAGCGCCAACCTGGAACCGAGTCATCGAGGTTTCGGATAGGGCCGAAGGGGAGGAGGAGAGGGTGGATGGGGAAGCGGGGGCGGAAGAGGAGAAATCGGGGGAGGAGGAGAGGGGAGATGCCGAAGCTAGGACAGTGGCTTGGCCCGAAGCTAAGTCTGCAGGTTCTGGTTGGAGGTTCGGTGAGAATATAGGTTCGGAAGGGGTGGGTAGTGATTGGTAGGAGGTGGCGGTGGGAGGTTCGGAGGAGGGGAAGGAGGAGGGGGGAGGAGGAGGGGGAGGAGGGGGATGAAGAGGAGGAGTAGGCAGCAGGTTTCCAGGAAGTTACCCGCACAACATCCATGGGAGTGCGTCGGCCAATCACAACGTTCAGTGCTGACGTGGCAGGGTCACGCGAACCAATGAGGCTGCAGGAGGGAACATTAAGGGTGCAATGTGGTGAGAAGGATGAAAGGGAAGAAAGGGGTTGAGTGCAGTGACAACGGGTGACCAATAGCGATCGGGAGGAACATATCGGCAGGGAAAAAGGGGGAAAGAGGCAGAGTTGAGTTTTGAGTCGACTCAAAACTCAACATATTCGCAGGGAAAAAGGGGAGAGGAGGCAGAGTTGAGTGAGGAATATGTTCCTACAGAGGGTGACGGTGAGGAGGCACGAAGAGCACCTCTTGAGTGCCCCTCACATCAGGTGAGGTGGGTGGTAAAGGGGGTGAGATTGGTAACTCCACAAGCCCCTCACCTTGGTAAGGTGGTAAGTGGTAAGGTGGTAAGTGGTAAGGTCGTAGTCCCTCCCCTCTTGCATTCAGAAGGAATGATCCCAATCCACAGCTTCCTAGGCAGACACAAACCCAACCCCCCCCCTTCCCCCCCCACCTTATCCCGTCTGACAGAATGCAGTTCTGGTTCTCGTCCCACCCAACCCCCCTCCTCACCTCATGGCAATGCAATCTGTAGAACCGGCAGGGATGATCCCAAGGCTCAGCCGACTAGGCAGACACAACCCCAACCACGTCCTCTCCCTCCCCTAATGGCGGCACAGACTGTCACAATCCAACTCTCGTGATTGCCCCACCTTCCCTTTCCTCACCTCATGGCAATGCAGTCAGTCGACCCAGCAGGAATAATCCCAATCCTCAGCCTCCTAGGCAGACACAACCCCACTCCGCCATCCTCCCCAAATCCTCCCTCCCTCCACTCATCCACTCCCCTTCCCCACTCCCCCACTCCTGCCCTCTCCTCCCCTTCCCCACCTTCCTCCTCCTCCCCCTCTTCCCCCTCGCGCACCGTCCCCCAGTCACTCAAAAACGTTGCATTCCTGACCCCCGGACCAAAACTGCTTCGACCGAAGCTGCGCCGAGCCTGCTGCGCCTTGGGCGTCTCGTAAAACCCCTTCGCCCCGCCGCCCCCCTCCTTGGGAGTCGGGAAATAATACCCATCCGAGCCGCCACTACCAGGCTTAGGAGTCTCATAGTACGATCCGGCTTTAGGAGTCGCATAGTAGCCTTTAGGAGTGTCATACCCATACCCGGCAGGAGTATTTAATCCAGCAGGGGTATTAAGGCCATCATGGAAATTAAAGACACCAGGAGTCTCTAAACCAGGAGTATTTAACCCTGCAGGGATGTCCAAACCCCTGCCGCCTCCTCTCGGCGAATCATCGCCGTCCACGTCAGCATGCCCCCCGCCGGTTTGCCCGAATGTGTGTGTGCCCTTGTCATTATTGCGTCGCCAGTTGTTCAAATTCAACCCCGCAGCAGCCAACCACCCCTTGCTCCCCACTCGCTTCCTCCCCTCCCTTCCTCCCTCCTCCCCCTCCTCCTCCTCCTCCTCGTCCTCCCCTCCTCTCTCCTCTCCGCTCTCCTTCCCGTCTCCTCTCTTTTTTCCTTCACATGGTTGCCCTGCGCTGCCCATGTCCAGGTTCACTGCACCTGCCGCCTCCAACTCGCTCTCCTGCCTGCAAAACCTGCCGAGCGTCAGCTTCCTCACCAAACCTGGAGCGCAGGCTCGGTCCGAACCTGCGGGGCCAACACCTGCACCACCAGCAGCGCCAACATCATCAGCATAAGCAGTGTCGCCATCTGAAACAACTACACGCTCCTGCGCTGCATTCTCCTCTCCCCCCTCTTCCTCCTCCTCCTCCTCCTCCTCCTCCTCCTCCCTCTCCTCTTCTTCTTTCTCTGCTGTCGTGGCGCCCTGCCACGCTGGCAGCTGCTCCAAATCGCCTCCTGACCCCGAATCGGCTCCCAAACCGCCTCCTATTCCCAATCCACCTCCTAATCTTAAACCCCCTGTGTCTGTACCGTTGTCCTTGACCGACCTAGCCAACTCTGATCCACAGTCCTCCTTCCCTGCGCTCCTAATCCTTCCCCTCTCGCTCCCGCTTCTGCCAGCACCGCATGGGGCGGTGGAGGGCGGCGGGAGGCGCAAGCGCGCGGGGCGCACGCACGGAAAGGCGCGATGGCGCCGCCTCGCGAGCCCGTTGAGCGCCTCGTTGAACAGCCCGTCGCCGCCCTGAGGGATGGGGGGAGAAGGGAATGGAGTTGGGATGGGTTGGGATGGTTTCAGATGTGTACAACAGGCATCAGCGCCTCGCCAGCCCGTTGGGCGCCTCGTTGAACAGCCCGTCGCCGCCCTGACGGTGGGGGGGAGGGGGAAGGGGGGGAATGGGAGTTGGGATTGGTTGGGATGGGTTGCGAGCGGTACAGCACTTCAGCGCCTCGCCAGCCCGTTTGGCGCCTCGTTGAACAGCCCGTCGCCGCAGTGGGGCAGCGGGTTGGAATGGAAGGGTTCAAAGGGTTGCAAAACAGCATCAGTACTTGGCCTCGTTGAACAGCGTGCGACTGTGTGTGCGACGCTGCGTGCGACTGTGTGTGCGACTCACCACGACGATGATCCCGTCGAGCTGGCAGAGCTCCTTGTCCGACGCGTTCTGCAGCATGTCGCGCGCGTGGTTGCGACGGCTAGTTACCACCACCTGCAACCAACGAAACAATTGCGAATGAGAAAATTCGTTATTATTGTTCGTACGTGCAATCTTACGACAACCGAAACGCCCAAAATTTCTCTAAGCGGAGAAGGACGCGCGATTGGTGCTTGCTGCTGCTACTGTTCGCCATAAAACTTCGCGAACTCTGTGGTAACCACAGGCTCACCTGCACGGCGACTCCTGCGCGATCGAACACGGGTCGAACCGCCTCCCATGTCTTTAATCCCTTCTTCCGCCCGCCAATAGGGTTCACGAACACTAAGAGGCTCCTAGGGCGCTCCGGGTCGGCGCGCAGCAGCGAGAGGATGCGGTCCGACCACTGCTGGCACACGTCAGCGTTGGCGTGGCAGAAGACGAGCTTGAGCGGCATCCAACGGTCGGCGGAGCGGCGGAACGTGTGAACCGCGAATTGATGCATCTACGCGCGCGGGGAGTTGGGGGGCGGAGGGTGGGGGGTGGGGGAGGGGGTGGGAGATTTGGGTGAATACAAGAGCACGGGGAATACTCGAAAGGGAGCGGAGCGGCGGAACGTGTGCACCGCGAATTGATGCATCTGCCCTCGACGGGGGGAAGCCGGGGAGAGTGCGGGGGGAGGGGAGCGGATGAGAGGCGGAGGGAAGGGGTGGAGGGCAGGGAAGGGGAAAGCAAGGGTAAGATATGCGGGAAGGGGTGAGGGGAGGGGGGAGGAGGAAGCGGGGGAGAGGGGGGAGGACGAGGTCCAGAGTGAACGGGGGCGAAGATAGCAGCGGATGAGGACAAGTTGGCGCCAGCCGCGCACTTTTCGCGCGCTCCCCTCGCGCATATCTCTCATTCGCTTGTCAGCGTTGCCGTCGAACGCGGGGGCTCCTTCCGCCTATCTCCTTCCGCAGGGAGCCCTTCTCGTCAGAGGCTATTTGGTCCCGAGTCCGTCAAGAAAAAATCACCAAAATCCTTATTGCAGTGTAGCATCACCAGAGGAGTGTACCTTAACGGGACTCGCAAAGAAGCTGCTCTTAACGGATGCCTCTGGGAGCATTTCAACGGCGTAGATTTCGTTGATGGGTGCTGAGCTTGCATTTGGTTGTCCCAGACCGCAGTCGTGGCACGGATTGGTTGCAGGGCACCTCTGAGCGGAGATCACGGAAAGAGATATGGAATGGGAAGAGAAACAATGAGAGAGGTCTGAAAAAGGGGTAAGGAGGGGGATAGGAATAAGGAGCAAGGATAGAGCGGGAGTCAATTGAGTCGACTAAAAAAACACCTCCGAGGGGTAGGAATAAGGAAGTGGGATGAAGGTGGTCTATGTAACCGAGGCAGGATTCGACGGAGGAGAAAAGACGGACGAGAACCGACGGAGAAAATTGACGGAGGAGGAAATGACGAACGAAGAGATGGCAGCGAGAATTGACGGCAATGTGACGAAATGTGTCTGCGCCGTCAGCGACGGAGTCCTCGAACCATTTCTCATTTACGTACGAAGGCTAACGGATACCGCGAGTGGAAACGGACGCAGGGCGATAAGGCTGGCCTGTCATTCCTGGATTGACCCACTTATTCAGTACCTACAGACTGATACAGCACCTGCTGGCCACCTGTAAATTCATTATAAGCTCGTCTTGAGTCTTGCTATTTTTAGTAGCTACCTGACTCGCGGATTCGTCCACTCTGTGCCACAAAATCCCGTCGACCATGAGCGCGGCGCGGACGTGGCCGGAATTCGGAATTAAGAATGACTCTTCCAGCAGCGTGTCTCGAGCCGTGCCCCCGTTCTTGCCGGCCGCCGTCCCCCCATGCCATCCGGCCCTTCCGCGCCGTCCGTCCGCGTTACTAGCGCTTCGCGACATTACGGCAATATCTGGGGCGTGCTTGAAGCCCAGGTCTACGTCTACCATTCCCCCATCGCACTCACTAGTCATGGAAATGAAAAAAGTAAACGCCTTATCTGTCAGAAGAAAGGCGCAACACGAGCTACAGTATCGTACCCCTCCCACAGCCACCTGTCAGACTGCCAGAAATGCTTGCCAGAGCTTGCCTGTTCGCACAGCAACCAGCCCAATCGCGTCTGGCCTAGTGGAATGCGAAGGGGAAGGAATGGGTGGAAGAGCGGTCCAGACGCAAAAATCCGTGACGGGGGTGAAGGAGACGTGCGTACTTTTGGCCGCGAAATGCATTTCAAGTTACAAGCGAGCAGGGAAAGCACGAAGAGAAGCAGAGGGGAGGGGAGGGCGCGAGCGAGCAAGCGAGCGAGGTGCCGCGGTGATGCTTGTTTTGGGGGCGGTGTGGAGCTGGGTGAGGAGGAGTGCAGCGGGACGGAGCGGGGCGGAGCGGAGCAATTGCGCGCGTGAGAGAAACGGCGGTGACTTGTGAAATGTACATACTACGGGGGGGCTCGACGAGTTGGGGGATGGCGCAACGGGTGGGGGAAATGGCGCGACAAGTGGAGAAAATGGCGCAACGGGTGGGGGAATGGCGCGACGTTTTCAGTGCAAGGTTGGGGAATTGGTGCGAGCGGATTCGTTGGTGGGACAACAGCGGGGCGAGTTTGGGTTGGGTTGGGTGAGGGAAATCCGCAGCGCGAGGGGGAAAGTTCGCTCTGTGGAAGAAATTCCGGCCATTATCTCCGATACTCAGATTTTTCATGAGCGCGTTCTCAGGTGTAATCACCAACAGAAACACAGTTTCTCGATATAGTAGGAATCTATTTCTTTTCGTATTTGTATACAGTCACTCAGAAAGAGGAAGTCTAGCACTTGCAATAAATAAATATAATACCCGTAGCAAACCTATATGTTTTCCAGGAAGGATCAACCCTAAACACCGAAAGCCTCCAAATATTTTGGAAAACTTATTGCAACTCTTTTTGACCAAAAAAATAATACCCACCTCGGAAAGGGATGCGACTCGGGGATGCATCAACCCTAAAAACAATGCCCATTTCCGTGTTTAGGGTTGACCCCTCTCGAAAATGCATCCAGGTTCCCTAGGGGTTTCATTTGTTTTTTCTGCCATGCCCGAATGGGTCTCGGTAGCGTCGTCTAGTGCTTTTGGTAGCATTGTTTAGCGGTCGGTTGTGCTACTGAGCACTACCAAGTGAATTATATGGGCTTCATTCTCTTAATACCTTAATTTTTCCGAAAGATGCGGTCTCGGGATCAAATCCCCCCTGCGGCGTATTCTGCCAGCCCCCACTAGAAGGGGCTACTCAACTACTCATCTGGGAGTGGATAGAACAACCTCGTTGACCCAGCAAGGAGTGTAAACAAATGGGGAGGCGGGTTACGATCGACAGCCAGGTGTGGGTAACACCCAGAGGGGCTTCCCCCCCTTTTTTACCTTTACCTTAATTTCCGTACATATATCCAGGTCGGGAGGGTAAACTGGATGGTTTTGTTTTTGTCACTTCCTAATGAGTTCGACCAGCGTGAGAAATGCGACTAAAAAGCGACGACCAATCAACGTTGAGAAAGTCCAGGTTGATTACACCTGAGAACACGCTCATGAAAAATCTGAGTATCGGAGATAATGGCCGAAGAAATTCACTTTTGGGCAAGCCTGGCCAACGAGACTTGTGACAGGCGTGAAATTGGAGCAGGCAGGGAGTGAAAGTGACGCCTGATTCGTTTGAGAGTTGTGACGCGTTACATGACACCAGTCACATGACACGAGTCACATGACATGACCTTGACACATGTGTGACGGGACAAACTTGTGGGGCTGGGGGACGAAATGCAGGGCACTTTGCGCCGAACGCGGTGGGCGTATGAGGAGTGGAAAATGGCGGGAAATAGGAGGAAAGCGGCTGCCGCCCTTTGCCCTATGTAGGGGACAGGCCTGGAAAAGGAAAGGTCACTAGCTACATCACATGCAACCTGTTTGCAGGTAGGTCTCTGGGGGAAAGTGATTGTTGGTGGGACGGTGGATGGATGTTGCACAGTCATCTGATCACAGTTCATCCTATCGTTACACATCCACTGTTCTTTGGCAGCACACCATCACTTGCATCACTGATGGTCGTCGCCTTTCACCATGGTCCATCATCCTTCATCAATGTCATGCCCGAAAGTAGTTGGGAAAGACGGGTAGATAGAAATAGCCGTTGTAGGGGGAATCGACCCGCTGTTGCGGAGTCAAACGGTCCGCGGTCAGCTTTCCAAACTCACCAACTCCAAAGCAGACCTGCAAAATGAGATCCTCCGCTCCGCCGCAAGCCTACATGCAAGGTTTTGCTTTTCAAAAAGCGCTTCCCGTAAACCGCGGAGAGCCCAAAGTTTTCCAGAAAACCCGATCACATGGCAATACTTCCAACCACACATGCAATCCCAGTTCCATGCCCGTCAAGAGGCCGTTCCCAAGACGAGCGACTGAAGCGATACATTCACCTGGTATACATCAATAGGACCAACGTAAGGAAACATATAAGGAAACTGAATAGGCAACACTTTTCATCAATTATCTCTGGGTACTTTACACTAGCTTTACACAATCCTAAAACTGAACATTTGCCACATGTATTTGACACCCTGGACTTCCAGTCAGTCAAACAAGCTGCTCTGTATGAATTAAGGAACCCAAAAGCATGTGGGACACCAGCAGCTCCGACCCAGATGAACGAAATGCATGGAGCAAAAAAAATTGCTCAGCACTAACGAGCGCATAAAACAGTCTCAGCATGGCAACTGGTGACAATGGTGCCAAAAGCTAGTTCCTGATCCAGTGCGGTTGAAAGCGGTGCCTGCAGGCATCTTATTTGCTGGAGGGAGGCGGCCCTGCAGCCACAGCAGCAACAGCAGCCGCTGCTGCAGCCTCGGCAACAAGATCCTTCCTGGAAGCATCCCACATCTGCTGCTCCAGGTTCAGCTTGCGGACCTCCATAAGCCCGCGCTCCGCTGGTGACATCATCATGACATCACAGTAACATCAGCATGACACCAGCATCAGTCAGATAAGAGAGATGAACAGGGAAGGGGAGGGAAGGGGGGGTGCGGAGGAGAGGCGTTTAGTTAGTGTGTGTCAGATAATGCATGCGTGTTCTATACTCATCTTGCGTGTGAGCACTATGCATGTATTACACTACACACATGTGTGTGTATGATTCAACATAAATGAGCACAAACATGCACACACACACACACACACACATGAGCACACACACACATGCACATGTACACACACACATGCACACAAACACACACACACGCACACACACACATACGCGCGCGCACACACACACACACACACACACACACACACACACACACACACACACACACACACACACACACAGGAGGGAGCTTCACAGTGCTCCTGGAGATCAAGGTTCAAAAATACGACGTATTTTTGAAAATTTACCGTAAATTACGGTATCGTAATTTACGGTCGTAAATTACTGTAAAAAACTGTTTGACGTTGCAAAATTAGGCTGGTTCAAAAATACGGTCG